CCCCCCCCCCCCCCCCCCCCCAATTACTTACTAACCCGCTACGTCCCTCCGACCTCGAGCACTTATTTCATCTCCCACCCTTATATGTAGCAAGCGGGCGCATATGTAAAACGCAGCCCAGCGAAGCTTCGCACTTTCTCGCGCACACGTACTCGAAATCTGGAAGTTGGACCAATTATTATACATGCTACCGTTAACGGCATTTTGGCCCGCCGTGCATATCTCCCCCCGCCCCCCGCCCCCCCTCTTTCATTTTCCGCGTGAAATAAGATCTGCCCTTATGAAACGTTCAAACGCTCGAACCCCACCAATCGGGGACACTTTGCCCGTGCCACGACTTCTTCCTCCCCAGCCGTAAATTCATATTTCCACACTATCCGGTCCCTGCGCTTCTCCAAAATCGTCGACAACGCAACGGTGCATCTCACCTCCTCGATCCACCCCCTTCCCCCTCCCGCATCTAGTTCTCTCCTACTGACCAAATGCACGGCGGGAGGGAAAACGCGTGGCCCTCTTAGCTCCAAGTTTGACGAGTATTTTAACTTTGTTCCTGGACAACATCGTAGCTCTCTCCCTCTCAGCCGGGAGGTGCGATAGGTACAATTACAGGATGTTGCCGATGCCTCGGATGTCTAGTTCGTACAATTTGTAGGGTAAAGGCGGGCAAGGCGAGACCGCAAACGTTATTCAACGCTATGCCGTAATTCAAATTCTCTCGGCGCTTCGTAAATGCCCTCGGGCTCGTCTTCGGGACCAACAGAGACTCATAGTGTGGCATTTTCATGCTATAAATAAGGATTTTTTTTTTTTTTTTTTTTTTGAAAGGAAAAAAACCTTTAGAGGAGTATCGAGTAACATCGGCCACTACGGCGCTTCTCAAAGCGAGACTGACGAGGGGAGAAAAAAGTTAAGCTAAGCCCTACGCACACCTATTTACGCAGCTTCTTTGCTCGACTCTCCGACTAATAGATCCGACGAATGTATTTAGTTGGAGGCACTCGCGCGACATCTCGCACTCACAGCATCCCCGTGCTTTTTGCAAATCATTGTTGTTGTTGTTGTTGTTGTTGTTGTTGTTGTTGTTAGACGTTATTCCCGAAGAGGGGAGCGATGCGCTTACAAGGTCGAGTTAGACGTTATTCCCGAAGAGGGGAGCGATGCGCTTACAAGGTGAGCGTGAGGGGGTATGAAGTAGGCGTTTGGTTATGCGTGTGTCGCGGTTACGCGAGGAAGCGACGGTAGACTAAGGGGGTGGATGGGTATGACGATGCACTCGTGCGTGCATCACGAAGGCAGGAAAAACGGCGAAGGGGTCAAAGGACGACTGTGCTTCAGCCGCTGGAATTTGCATTTGCTCGTCCTATAAATATGCTAAGTTGCTGCCTATGAAGAGTCGTGACCGAGGCAGACGACGATGCGCTTCGATATATGTCGTCCAGGATACGTCGAGGACGTGCTAACGTTAGCTCTCTTGTGATATGCGAACATCCGATGTCCGAATCATATAGTTTCGCTGTACGATGATTACGGCGACCAAGAGGAGCAGCTCTGCCTCCTCTCTGACAATAATACTCAAAGCTTCAAATCAGAATTCCCTTGTAAAAGGAAATTTTTTTCACCAAATTACGCGGTAGATTTGATCCTTAGGCGGACTTTGACGAGATTAATTATTAATTAATAATAATTTCCAATGGAGGCTTGCAATTGGAAAGTGCGACTTTAAGGTATTGTGTTTAGAAAAGCGAAGAAACGATTGTCAAACTATCATTCGACCAGGACGGAAGTTGAATATTGCGTGCGTAGGCGATAAATGGGTAACATTTATTATTGACTCGATTAGGATTTCGATCCTTTCATCCAAATTTCATAATATATTTTTCTCTTACATTATTGTCCCTTTAATGTATGTCTTTAGCAAGTCCTTCGTGATCGTCCACTATCATATCCACCTCACTATCTGATATAATATCTATCACATATAATAACAATGCAACAAGCGTTGGCAAATGAATAAAAAATTAATAAAAATAATTCCATAGACAAGTGAAACATTGTGTGGCTATGGAAGCGCGAAAAGAAATGTGAAAAAGGCAATGAAATTTTTGTGTATTTAGTTTGCATGCATTTAGTCAAGTAAAAATACTACATTTATCCCAAATACATTTTTTCTTCGTTTTTCTTTTTTCCACAATGTTTACAATTTTGCATGAAAATTTTCTCCTTCTCATGATCAGCAGCACGACTACTTTATGCGCGTATAAGCTGTCCGTCCTTATGTTTTACAATGATGAGATAAAAAGTAGTATTAAACGCTTCTTCGAGGCTTAGTGAAAATTGTTTACAACAATGAGGGAAGAGGAAAATGCTTCAAATCTATCGAGTTATCAGACAATATTCATTAAGTACAACATCCGGATAATTAAACGATATAAGTGAATTAAGTGTTCGTCTGGATAGGCGACACAATGCAAATATTAACGGACGAGCTCCTACGTTTTCATCATCACAATGACTAAATAGCAAATTACAATATTTGGATAAATATAGAGATTACACCGGATGGCCGGTGTAATTAAATCATAATTACAATGTACTTATCGAGCCCTTTGCAATACTCGTATTATCTCGTCTCTCCTCGATTCCGTAACAGAGCAAAGAAAATGAAGCTCAATTATGAGTTTAGACACATAGCCGTCGTGGAAATAGTCGTAGAAAATGAGGTGGCGGAGGTGGGGGGGGCGAAGAGGGAGTAAAAAAATGTACACTCGAGGCAGCATCTGGAGTTCTCGCATCAATTTCAACGAGTCGAGATCGTGTAAAGACTTTTTGTGTAGTCTATTCGGAGGTCGAGATGCTGTACCATTTCGACCACGTGGGAACTCCTCTCTATCTAGTTCCTTATACTTTTTTCTTTATACGGTATTTTAAATCTAGGCCACGTATATCTCTTACAGCTTGACTTTTTTCGTGAAAACGCAACTTGCGCTCCTTAATGGGTGGAAAAACTTATAGTACGCAAACTGGCTTCTTTCACATTAATCCGTGTTTATTTAAACGGATTTGGAGCTTTAATAGTTATATGAATTTTCTTTGCGTAACTTTAACTTTATTTGTCAATTCGTCTTTTACAAAGCAATAACGAGCAATAACATTTTTCTTTCTTTCTATTTTTGTTTTTTTTTTTTGTTTTCCCCCTTTTTTTTTCCCCCAATAAGCATTTAATATTTATAGAGAGTTAATATTATATTTAGTTAATATTTATAACATAATTTATAGAGAGCAAATACAGATTTTTGTATTTATTAACGAGATTATAATAGAATTAGTCCTATCATGCTCTTACAATATTTTCTTTCTACAGACATTTCCAATTTGGCGATTTATCTTAACAAAGTACATTTGCAAAATCTAATTCAACGCACGTTCAAGATAATAGTAAAATATCGACAAAATTTAATTAATAATTACTTAAAAAAAAAAAAAAAAAAAAAACAACAACAACAACATTGGCGAATAATTCTGAAAAAGACTTTAAGAGCTTTGATTACTCCATTTTGCATTTATCTATAATTAATCGGTAGTTTAAAATTCCGTTTTATCGCTCATTGAATTGTGTCGCGATATTTTATAGTATATAAAAACTGTAAATAATTTAAAAATTTTATAATTAAAAATTGTACGGTTAATTGGTTGAAATACTTTTATTGAAGATATAAAAAAAAAAAAAACAAGAACAAAACCGTAACACATGTCTTGAACTATACATTGTTATTTAATAATATAGATCTCACATGTACTTTATTATGATATTCAAAATAGTATAAAAATTATCTTTACTAAATTATTAAATTCGCTTCGGTTAAAAGTATGTTAGTTTTACAAATTGTATATATATATATATATATATATATACATATAGCTGTTGTTTTCTAATAAAATTCATAGCTTTAAATAAGGATTGAATGAAGCAATTTTCGTTTAAAAGCAATATAATAATAATAAAACTCCTTGAGAAATTAATATGGAAGGGCAAAAACATTACGTAATATCTTATATATCTATATATACGTAATTATTTTCCATTAAAAGACGAGACAATCATCTTTCATCTTTTCAAATAAACATTCTTTAAACAATTCTATTGCACGCGTGCACATACAAGCTCGTGCGCGTACGTGTGTTATAATGAATATTATTTATTCATTTTTATATTAAAAAGTATGATTAAATACGCGTTGAAATAATATATGCGTATGAAACATCATTGTCGCTGTTTGATCATTATCGTAATTAGGTAAACGTTGGTTAAGGAAAAAAATCGTAGATACAATGGTTGTTGAGATATTGAAGGAAGATAAAAATTATGGAAAAGTTTGTCTGGCAGGATGATTTCAGAGTTAATACATTAAAGTGATAAACTATATTAGTAAAATAAGATTGAGGCGTCGGATTAATATTAGACAGCTTCAATTATATAATCTCTAAGGCTCTTGAAGAAAGTAACTTTTAACGTTCAATGCAAGTTCTGATCGATCCAACATGAAACTATTAAATGTTCAAAGTGAGAAGAGCGAGAGAGTTGAGCAATGAAGAGGTCGATTCCCCCGTCTACAATGTATTAATATTTTCCTTATTAGGGATTATTTTACGATTATTTTAGGAGCAAACGCTGCTACAATCTCCCTCTTTAAAAAAAAAAAAAAACAAAAAAAAACAAAAAAAAACGAGATAAAGGCTTATTAAATTAGAGGTAGATAAGCGCAAGAAAAAAAGGTAGGGTATCCTTAGTATTCGATAGTGATGGTCTTGGTCTTGAGATATTCGTTGAGGGCGTCCTGGCCCAAGTCTTTGCCGAAGCCAGACCTCTTGAAACCACCGAAGGGCGCGGCTACGTCCGTCTTGTTGTATGTGTTGACGAAGACTGTGCCGGCGTCGATCTTCTCAGCGAACCTTAGCGCCCGATTAATGTCCCGGGTAAGGACTCCCGAGGCCAGTCCGTACTCCGTAGCATTCGCCCGGGCGATTACACCCTCGAGATCCCGCGAGCTGAAGCTCGAGACGATCATGATGGGCCCGAAGGACTCCTCGCTCGCTAAAAAGCTTCCGTCCCGCACGTCCGCGAAGATCGTCGGCTCGAAGTAGTAGCCCTTCATGGGCAGTCGTTTGCCACCGTAAACGAGGCGCGCGTGCCCATCCATCCCTTGCTTCACAAACTCCAAGAGCTTGTCCAGATGAGCCTTGTGATTCTGGGGTCCATGGTTGGTGGAGCGGTTAAGTGGATCGCCGATCGTCAGCTTCTTAGTCTCAGTCACTACGCGCTCCAGAAATTCTTTTTCAATGCGCTCCTCGACGAAGATGCGACCTAAGGTGAAAGAGGGAGCAGACATTATTTGAACGTAATTTGCAGTTTCGTCATTCGTTCGTACCTATACTTGACTTTATCCAATTGTTAAATTTATTCTATATGCATAAGCTTAAGACAAAACAATAACAAAAATTTTATTCTATTATATTCTTTGACTCTGTATACCAGCCTACTAATCCTATTAAAATTTACCACTTTTATTCTATTCGCTAAACTAGTTGTTACATTAACTTTATGAGCTCTTATGCAATAGGTCATTCTCATTAAACTCGCCGATATAGCCGAGAATTAAAAATTTTTTATTAATTATATTTGCCGATCACGGCATCGTCTCTACAAACTTTTCTCCTCCTTAAATACCACAAAACTTTACGCAAAATCAAAAGCTGAAAATTACAAGTGATAGCGACTTAATAAACGACAATAATAAATATGAAATCTTACCAGCAGCGATACAATTTTCGCCCTTATTAAAGAAAACGCTGCTCATCGCGAGTCTCACGGCTTGTTGCATGTCGGCATCTTCGAATATAACCAACGGACTTTTTCCGCCGAGCTCCAATGAGACTTTCTTCAAGTTACTTTCAGCGCATGATTTCATAATCACTTGGCCGACGTTCGTCGATCCGGTAAAGCCGAGCTTTCTCACTAATGGATGATGGGCGATCGCGTTCCCGGCAATTGGTCCTGTTCCTGGCACAATGTTGATCACACCTACGCACATGCGTGCAATTACCAATAAAATCGCCTTTACTTATACAAATTCGGGAATGACTCGAATCATATATATATATATATATATATATATACATATAGAATACGTGTAGATTTAATAAATGATAAGAATAGGAATGTTTGAGAATGTTGGTCTTGGAGAGCCAACAACCTTCGCCCTTCGGATCGCTTTGGACATCAACAGCTTATATTCTTGATTTATTTAGAAAAATAGTTGTTAAAGCATGACGTTGAGATGGAAAATTTTTGTTTTACGACCAATTTCTCCAATTTTTAATTAATTCGAATTTTAACACTGACACTTTCACGGTACTCATATTATTCGTTGTCTTAATTTTTTTACGATATAATTGTTACAATTTATTTACACTAAGTATATGCACATGTAAAATTGCTCTGCAGTTATTGGAAAAAATGCATGAGCTATTATATTTTTTATTTAATATTAGAATTTCATGGACTCAGTTTTTATTGTCGTCACGGCTAACGACACTGCGCAAAGAGCTCTTCTATATTCTATATTTTAGGATAAATACAATCTTGTGAATATCGAATAATAAACAAATAGCTTGGAAAAATGAAGAATTCCGAGTTTTTAGTAAAGTTGAATAGAGTTTCCGATAGTTTTGTCCGGTGATTGTCGGATTGTGCGTGTTACGTACCTGGTGGGATGCCGGCCTTGGCCGAGAGCTCGGCGAACTTCAAAGCGGTAAGGGGCGACGTCTGGGCGGGCTTCATGACGACCGTGTTACCTGCGGCGAGGCATGCGGCCATCTTCCACGAGAGCATCATCAGCGGGTAGTTCCAGGGTGTGACGAGGCCGCAGACGCCGAGCGGTTCCCGCCTCGTGATCGTGAGGTTACGATTGGGCCGCGCGTGCGATATCGGCACCGTCGTCCCCTGGATCTTGTCGCACCAGCCGGCAAAGTAGCGCCAGGTCTCGATCGACATACCCACGTGGGTCTTCAGCGCGAGGGTGTACACCGCGCCTGAGTCGAGGCTCTCCAGGGTCGCCAACTCCTCTTTATGCTGCTCCATCAGGTCCGCCAGCCTGCGCCAGAAACGAATCTTTGCACAACTGTCTTCTTCGTGTATCTTAAAGTGGACGAAAATTAGATTTTTCCCGCGATTACCGATAATATCTAATTATTTATTGTTAATAATTTATTGTACTTTCGTCATTTGGAGCCGTGCACGATCGGTGTAAAATTGCGCTCTCGGTAATTCTCAACTCAAGTGAATTCACCGGATTAAAATCACCGGAAGTATTCAAGAGCGAGTAATAAAGTAGCCCACAATTATCATTTCGTGAATAAAAATAGTACTTTGATCAAAGAAAACATAAATAAATAAATAAATAAAAATAAATCGGCACGTGGATTGTGAAAATAATTATATAATAAAAGTATAGGAAAGCACATATGCACGTTCGCGCACCCCTCCATATACACACACATATATGTGCATGAATGAGCGCGCGCGCGCGTGTGTGTATATATATGTATATATTGTTACTACAATCATGATGTGGAATTTAAGCTTAGAGAACAAAATGACGGTAATATTAATTGTTAAAATAATAATCTATTATTGTGTGTAAGCCATTCGGATTGTGCGAAGGAGAGGGAAGATATTGTTAAGATAAACAAAAACAAAAAAAATGTTATTCTCGGCTTAAAGGAAAGAACGAGGCCACACATATAATCGAGAAATAAATGAAAAAATATATTATAATTGAGAGATCACAATGTCAAAAGTAAAATTAAATCACAATTTAAAAACAACTTCATATACGACAAATGAAATCGAAAGTACAGGAAAGAAAGCTTTTAGTTTAAAAATATGGCGCTCCTCGTGTTTCGATAAAAAGAAATTTGTG